CGCTCACCAGAACGTCATGCCAATATTGGAATGCAAAAACATAGAAGAGAAAATCGATGGCCAGCAATTACACCATCTTCGCTTTGTTGGTGACATCGTTCTTACAACATCAAACATTACCCAAGCGGAACGAATGCTTGTCGGCTTTGATAAATTTCATCGAAAAAGAGGACCCTTGATTTTCATAACCATATTGTCCCATTCCAATGTTCGCATGACATTCAGCGAAATGGTATCGCCTGCCCGAATCCCTTTGGTTTTAGAAATAGTTTTACCTCGATGTTAATATAACTAAAGAACTGTGATATTTCAGGTGTGAAAATTTTCTGCAGAACATCAAAAGTGATACATGAACAATATCACTTTACTAAGCTGTGATGAGTGGCATCACTAACCATTGCGAAAAAAGGAATCTTGCTCGGAGACGATTGACCGATCCTGTGCAGAATTTTGGGAAAACAATGACGTCCGTTAGGCGGAACATTATATTTAGTGCAGTCTGGTCTTCGAGTATTCTACGTTACTGTACAAAGCTCTACATCAATCTTTTCCGCTTCATAACCACCGCCCCATTTCACGAAAACCCCGCTGAGAAAAAACCACTTGAGATTCTATTCCCTTCGGTTCGAGTTGCTATAGAAAACATGGAAAGAGTCAATGCTCCAAAATCTAATAATATCACTGCCAACTTTCTTAGAGTTGGAAGCCACAGTTTGCATGTAGCTCTCCAAACCTTATGACATCCTACACCCAAAACGGTAAAAGTGCCAGACCAGTGGAGGACATAGCGCACAATGATTCTGCTCAAAAAAGGTGGTAGAAGAGATCTTCGTAATTATCGTTCGATGTTTGCCGAGAGTACTCTACAAATCCATGAAATTATTCTGTTGCACATGTCAAAAACACTGGATAAGGGATAACCAGTTAGCAAGCCTGGGTTTGGACAACGGTTCTCTCGGATGGCCCACATCGAAATGTATCATGGGTCGTAGTCTGGCTGGCGAACCATCTGCTCCCTATCCTATCCTTTATCGAATACCAAAAAACCTTGGACAACGTTTGGACGAATGCAGTCCTATGCTACAACACTTTTCGACCAAGGAAAGAACATGTATTATACACGATAACTAGCTGAAATGAACTCTGCAATGAAATACAATAGCATCAATCCCATTTAATACCGCACTGCAACGAGTAATAAAGCCACTTGATTCGGACGAGAAGATGTATGTATTGATGGAAATTCCAATCAAATCTCCGTTTTACGAATGACACCGTCATCTGTTCGAGGAGTACTAGTGAAGCACCGACGTCGATGAATGAACTCAAGAAAGTGTGAAGATAACATTAGACTGTCCATAAATAGGACGAAGACCCAGCTCATAAAGAACGCATGGTAGAAAGATGATACAGAGACCACCTCGTACCTGTACCTTGGAAGTTCAATAAACATGAAGAACAACGTGAGACACGAATTTGACGGAAGGACAGCAGCATGGCCGCATTTCGGCCTGCCAAAGAAACCACCGACCAAATAAAGGATCCAAAGCACCGCTCCCACATTTTTGATTCGGCAGTCTTTCCCGGACTCCATGATAGAAGGGACGTAGGCCTATACTTCAGCTACGTCAAGAATACTATGCACCACCCACAGAGCACTCAAGCGATGTCATCTGATACATAACCAACAAACATAACATCTCGTCGGAATGCAAAGCTCTGACCCTCGAAATATATCTCATCTTCGGAATCCAGGAGAATACACGTCTATGGCGAAACAGATGATCTTGCAAAGAAATAAGCGAACAGGTGGTAGATGGACGAAGTGAAAAGTGGATTGCACCTAGACAGAGTGCATGAATCCTCTTGGAAGACCCATCCAAACGATAGGTGGAGGTATTCGTGGATAACGTCAAACTGCATTCGCAGGTGGAACCGAAAATTTAGGAAATCGGAATGCGTTTCGCGAACGTCACCGTTTTCGAAGCAGATCACCATCATTGATGACGATTGTGCAATAGAGAAAAGATGGAAACTCTGTTGAAATTCTAACAACCATTGGAGACCGGCTATCTAAGTAACCAAGTAGGTAAATACTTCGTGTAAGGAGACTTCTACGTCTAACGTTCACAGAGAGGCTTCTGGATTTCGAGTTACCATGGACGGTCTCGATCGCCATGCTGACCTCACACAGCCGTCCTGTTCAGCGATTAAAGTTCCTAGAAATGAGAGTCGCCTTCGATCAACTAGCACTCCAGAATGGTTAGAAAGTGGATAGCCGGAGTACATGACATATTGACGTAAAATGAACTAGTGAGTACTTAAACCTTTCCACTCAATAGTTCTTACGAATCCTTTCTTCCCACATTTCATGTTTATGGCCTGTGTTCTGCGTAATCACCTAGTATTCTTCAGGTGTATGGGAGATTCCTATCGTTGAATGTCCATTGCCATTTATGGAAAGCATGTTTGTTCTGTAGTTCGCGAGGTAAATGCCCTTATACTCCTCATTATATTGAGCCTTCACTTACCCTTTTCTCACGTTCCGGTCGATAATACAGTGCAGGTGCTGGCAAATGCATTAAGTGGCTATAGCGCCCCTGTCTACTATGATCGCCTAGGACACCCGTAGTGGTGTTATCTCGTGATTTCAGAAAAAATTACACTCGATAAGCATTTATTTCAAAATATTCATGAGGATAGAACACTCCATATGCTCAAGGCGAACATCTTACACCCAGTGGCAATAAAATAAATGAAGTTCTAGGTTCCGAAAATCCTTTCAGGACTGGTCACAACAGCGAATGCTACTCGCTTATTTCAGATGAAGCCGTAGACTGTCATCCCGTGCTCACATTAACACAGTGAACACCTGGTTTTGATTGAAGAATAACGCTTCTTCCTGTACTAATGGCATGAACTCTCATTCGATCGTCCTCAGCCCAACCGTTTTCGTAACATCTGTAAAATACTATTCGAGTAAGAACTGAGGAAACCTCTCAAACAACCAATTCGACAAATCACATCGACGACCAGGAACTTTATTGATGCCCAGCGCTTCCTAGACAAAATCTCTAATTAACTAAGTTCGGTTAGCTATCGATTGGATATAGCAAGGTAAAAAGAATCCTGGAGCCTACTAAACTGGAAACATACACTATGGTTTCCATACCGTCCAGTTGTTCAGAGACGTATACCTTGGTATCCATAGCCATAATTAACAAATCTAATAGTAGATAGTTCATAATGAATTTTACCAACTGTAATAAAACCCATTAGAATCTGCCAATTTTGGCCTACACCACGGAAGTTCATTCGTCTTACAGCGTTGGAATTCCGATTTCCTATATTCCATGAGTTACATTTTTTCTCCTCTTTATTACATGTGGGCTCATTTCCAAACAAAGAAGCAGATGAGCAAGCATAGTCTCCTCCAACAGCACAAGATAATTTCCCCCAATACAACGTCTATGTTTGCAACTAGCGCTCTCCCGTCGAAACTTCTGAGAACGTAGACATCGTCACCAGCTTTTCAGAAGCTTAGGCTCAAAACATATTCTAATTCGAAAGGAAAGGGCAACGTTCTTCTTACAGATCTACAGAGCTTTGAATTCTCAAAACGGTCCAGTGGTCGAGAAATTACGTTTTAAAAAACCAACCATCCCGCGAGTGTGCTAATAATTAGCAGTACTCTTACTTACTAGTATTCTACTTGTACTAGAATCGTCATTGCTTTCCGAAAGATCGCATTTACTTGCAACCACATCCATTATTACTTCCCCAGTTTTGCGCCATAGTTCCATGAGTCTCACATCATTTAGTTCGAACTACTATAAAAGGAAATCATAGTGGGCTTCAATACCACTCGTTAAACGGAATATCTACGGGCCTGGAACGAAAAATAACCATTTAGCGCTAGTGATACCAACCAAACCACTCGAATATCTCCAAAAGACTACGTAAACAACCACAAGTGACAAGTGATATACCTCTTCGCATGCCCAGCAGAATATTTCCGGCCTCAGTACCGAACAGCATACATGAAACCAACCGTTCATCGTCGATGTGCCGATGAGCAGAACGCCATACCAAGCACCGAACCACCGAGAGTCATTTTAAAGAATCATAAGCAATCCATGTATTCAGTGATAGCGTCTTGTATTCGCATTTCTACCAACAAATTTAACTGGGCACATATTACATATGTATATACACTGACGAGAAGAGTACATGTCAAAACAAAATTACATTTTAGTCTAGACTAGGTGGGAGATTGAATCTCACACAAAAAATGGAAGTATGCGAGATCGCAATAGGGAAAAGTAGAATGACAGATGCTCAACATGAACGAAAACAACACTTTAGGTGGCTACCAAAGGAAATGCGATATGAACCACCTTGTTCTGCAAAAGAACCCACGAAAACGAGTTACGAATGACGTACGCATCAAAAATTACCGGATCGAAACACGAATGATAATGATCCTGATGATCAGAGAGATTACCGATGACAGTTTTTGATGAGCACTTTGGAAAAGAAGAAAACTTTTAAACGTTGGCAACGACAAAACTGATGAACAAACTTACTGATATCACCGAGTTTATGTGAAAAGACAGACTATTTCAACTGTTGTTTACAAGGAGTTAGTAACTATATCTTTAAAAAACGATTACTAGTGCTTAACGTAATGATGAGTAAAAAGTGCTAAGTATGAAAGAAATTTCGGTTGCGATGACTCATAGCACTTGTTCACTAGTGTCTTAGCGTAAACATTGTTAAGAAATACATCACAAAACTATCAAACAACAAGAGATCGTCAGAATATAAAATTTGGTGAAGCGATAAAATTAGGAAGGATTTGAAATATAGAACTCTTCGAAAAACTAGGTATCTGAATCCATAATAGACCTGTTGATAAAAAATGACAATCGTCAAAACTATAGAAACGGTTACCAAACGTGAACGAACGAGGTAGGAATTAGAAAACATCTAGCAACTTTTCACTCAGAAGTTCGTTCCACATAGTACTGCTGAAGTCGTACGTGCCATGCTATAGAAGCACAGGCAGATATTGTACGAAACTGATGGACTATATTCCGCGGCAAAAAATAAATATCATTGTGATGGAGCTGTAAACGAAACGACTATAGCTTCATCAGTTAAAGAAAGTAAAAACCAAATAGAATAAAAATAATACCTGAAACTTCGAATATCGAACACCTTCTCGACGAAGCTGGTTCAATTTTGCTTCTTCTACCCACTGTACACACTGTAATTGTTTTCATTTTAAAATACGATGCAAAACAAACATGCGGGAACAAAAACAAGTCAGTAAACAGCCAAACGGAATGATAGCTAGCCAAACCTGAGACATTGGAGGTTCATACAAATCAAGCTGCAAAGTCTCCACTATTCGCTCAAAATCGGCGGCATGGAAACAGACAACATCTTTGACCGCTCGTCGAGATGGCCTAGCAAAAGTTCATTTCTACATGAAAAATAGGATCTTTAAATAATGATGTGGAACTCAGACCTTCTGTTACCAAAACTAAACAATTTTTACTAACAGAATTTTGTTTTCACCAGCTACATACTAAATTAAACTGCATTCTAGTAAAAGACGACCAATTTGCCAAGAAAACTCTAACGCGGAGGGTAAAAAGAGGTGGTGCGTCCAAGTAGGGCAAACTGATAAACTATAGTAAATGAACTGTAGTCTCATAGAATATTACCCACTTTTCGTTCGGAGCTCGTATTGATTGAAGAATACCAACGGCTGCCGTGGTTTTGCGTTCCAGACCGTCACCAACATGATCAGCATGACAAGGTGTGCGATCCTCGAACAACAACTCCCGACGCTCATAATGTCTAAATTTTATGGTAGAATAACATCAAACGATGACGGTCATCAAAATACTTTTTCATCCAACATCAAGGTGGTAATTCAACTTGCTAGTGTGGACATAAAAACTCCACAGTAAGAGAGGCTTCGAATCACTTTCTACCTATAACATGAAGTCATCAAATAACTCAAAAGGTTAGCAAAAAAAGCCACTGTTCGCAGTTGAGCTTCAGAGTTTCCCAGTAAGCTCCGAAGGACACGAACATCATGATGCACATCACAAACACACCTTACTTCTAACGGATTTACCACTTTGCACTTACTACTGTCTTGTTTAAAAGCATCATGGCAGGCAAGAAAAACGGGGTAGCAAGATACCGAGTTGTCTCCAGGGAGATCGGGATTCATTTGTTGGAAGCAATTATCAGCTGCTTCTCGTGAACTCCTCAGTTAATTTAATGCAGAAAAAGTAATCTGTGTATGACATCTTGAAGCACCCATGTAAAATATGACTTTGTCTACATGTATAAGATATTTCTATATAAAAGTGTATGACTAATGCGCATTTATGGGTGTAAACAGAGACCAACAGATAATATTTAAAATATAACCAAAAGGATGCCGAGATATTTGCAAAACTTTAGACCGGTGACTGCGGTGCGAAACGAACGGGCTATTACCCTTTCCGAGGGAAACGCGTTCACCACCACATCACGCGAATCCTTCGCTTCGTCCTTCTCTCAGCCGTCTATAGGTGTTATCAGCATAATAACAGATAACATTTTATCACAAACTACACATAAAATCACCGAAGAGCGTGAGAATGTCCACGTGGTGCAGTAACTCCCTTTTTCCGTTTGCCTTCTCGTTCGTCTCTAAGGTCGTCCGTACGTATCAACTACAAATTTGTATTTTTAGCTGCTTCCAATGGTTAAAATTAAAATTGTCATCCATATAAGTGAAACACATTGTGAGAAAGATATAAAACTGGGAAGAATAGAACAGAGAAAAATGATTTCCTTAAGAAAAGAAAACTATAGCTAACAACATACCTGCTCCCCTGGACGAACCCAAAATATCGGGCCATCGTCACATTCGGTAATATTGTCGAGATTTAACGTCGACCATTCCCCCCATGGCATTATTGGTCGTAAAATCTGAAACAGTATCAAGCATAAAGATTGTAATAGGCTGGTAAACAATTAGGAAAAAAGAAATCTGACATTCTTCACAAAACCTAAACTAATCCTCGTTTTCCAATCTTACCAAGTTTGTCTAAACATCGAGAACCGAAAAATTATGAGACCCGGCTTTTAGAGACAAATATGTTCTCCACAGACAGTTTCTATGTTAATAAAGTTCTAAGTAGAAAGTGTAAATCAGTATACTACAGTACAAAAATCAGTACAGTATCAGTACAAGCTAAGCATTCGGCAAAACGACGGCATCAGAGTTGATTAAAATATAAAAAAGACAGGTAGTGATAAAACATATGTGGTCATGCATAAATTTACTTAAACTATCTCTAGGATAACATAAACGGTATGATCTTACGGGAGACTTCTCCAATTCTGCTAAGAGTTCAGCAAAATAGTCACCACATTCCTCTTGTTTGGCACCAACCATTGAGACTGAGTGCATAGGACCAGTTCTAAACAAAAATCAAACCTAGCAAAAGTCATAGGCTCACGAGCAGAAAACAGCAATGGTAAATACTGCGTAGTTCTACAAGAAAAATTCACCTGAATGTCCCATGATGACAAGTTTCCATGACTTGCTTGTAATACGTGTTGAATGACATAGTTTCCACAACTTGTTTATTTGTCAGAGATCCAACCTATACCCGAAACAGAAGTAGAAACTAACATCTTAACAAAATGATCCAAAAAACTATCTTTTCTCAGTTATCTCCGGAGATCCTCATGATGAACGAAAGCCTACATTAAGCATTTAGAAGATGACCATTTACTACGACTTCGGAACAAAACACATCGCGCAGTCCTTTGCTTTGAAATCACAACAAAATGATGCGCCGTACTACTTGCAGATTCGCTAGGTGAAGTGAATGCAATTGTGTGTCGTGACAGACTCATTGAAGACTGATGACAGTGGGTGAATGAAGAATACACATTTAGGGGCACGCACGGAAAGCTAATTTAAGAATACAAGAATAAGTAGAAAAGAAAATGAACAAGAAATCAGAATGCAATAACAAGTTGCAGAAAATGGTCCAAAACTGTAGAAAACCAATAAAGTGAAGAACGTAGTATTTTGACAGTAGTACAAGGCAATTAATTTACGAAAAAATGTTATGGTAATATCCTTACTTTAACTGGCAATTGTGGGTGCTTCTCATGCATGTATTGAAAGACATCCTAAAAATAGAAATTGTACCCATAACATATAGAATAGAGACCTAAACATTCAAAATTTCTATCACTTACCACAAGGTACGAAGCGGCATTCTCCAGAACTCCTATGACGAAAACAGGTATCCCATTAGATTCTGCTAATCCAAGACGGATAAATTGCTTGGCAAATTCCACTCTTAAAGTAAGACGACGGATTCGTAATGATAACCGTATACGCAGCTGTGAACACAAAAAGGAAACCCTTTTCCCACATGAGGAAAATATAATGTACATAAACAAGGAAATAAATGTTTATACTAGTGAAACTTCTCAACTGGACGATCTGCCGCATATGTCTCCATACCATTTTTGGGAACAGATTTGAAAAAAACCGAACACCAGTATTCCTTAAGCAGGGCAAGTGCTCTCCAAATCAATCGCGTTAACAGGTGATTAGTGATTGCACTGGTCGAAAGAGAGCTAGCTGAGAAACAGGAGAAACGAAGGAGCCCGTGGTGTAGTGGTGAACGCGTTAGCCATCGTGAAGGGTAATAGCGCGTTCGTTCCCCGCCGAAGACACCTGCGGCCCTGAGTTTGGCAAATATCTCAGCACCATTGTGGTTGTATTTTACGTAATACCCTGCCGTTAAAATTGTAGTAGGTTGAAAAAAAGTTAACAGTGCAAGTAATAATTTCTAACCTATCTTCTGCGTCGAAATGTTTCCTTATATTGTTCCAGTCTGTTCTTAAAATCGACGCGCCACCATTTGGATGCGTATCGATCTCCACGAATTTACGGAACTTGAAAATTTCAATGACATCTTGAATCACAAGAAATAACGTTTATGTACAGCCAAATCAACAGAAGAAACAATTTAAAAGACCTAACGATGAAAAACCTCCCGAAGGTCTACCGCCTCATCGCGGCTGGGAGGTGTTTCTGGGTATAGAACTGCAACGTACGTCGGGAGGACTCGTCCCCCGCAGGGTCTCCCATGCTGAGATGGAATCCGGCGTTTCCATCAGGAAGCCTAGCTAAGAGTAAACCAATATCAGGATCCACCACCGTCCTGGTATCAAAGTCGCATGGTGGCAAACATTCCCCTGATCCACAAGGGTCGGGACTTCCCATGGTGGTGAAGAGCTAGGGCAGACTTTGGCCAGGCTCACCTCGGGATTCTAGGAAACGACAACGGCTTAACCAGCAAGTCTCCGAAAATGGTGATTATGCTGGAACCGGCACAACCTGTGCGGACTGACCGTCCAAGTATCAAGTAACAATGAAAAAGAAAACCTTGTTAGATATCCTCGGAAGTTTATCTTTCTTCAAGTGCTTTGATTCTTTTGCGTCTTTACCTTCAGTCAGCGAAAAACCATTTTCAGTATCGTTCTTGGTGTAACAATTACAAGCCGTATATTCTGAATTGCACTCAGTAGGATGCACCGGTAACAGTACCGTTGTGAGAGAGAAAATGAGAGACTTACTTAGATTCACCGCACAACGATGACCAAAGTTACCCTTGCCATTTGCAGAAACTTTTTCACTGAATCATCCCATTGTTATGTAAGAAAAATGTTGTATGTTAGTGTCGTAAACGATGAATATATCCTAAGATTAACAAGAGAAAGCTAAGGAAGTACCTGTTCTTGTTATGTTTATGCTCTTCATCTCTATGGTCCGGCACAGCATTGCTTGTTGATGCCTCACAATGAGTGTGGTTCTTCAACGAAGCTAGATCGCTCGTGCACTTGAAAAAAAACAAAGCAATAACAAAGATGCAAATTTGCACAAAAGCTTTATTTCACTTACCTTATGTTTGAGACGTTTCAGTGGTGAAATATTTCCATTCAAAGAGATAGCCGTCATTGAAGTGGAAGTCGACTGGGAGTGGGAAGGCATACATGCAATTTTTCGCGGTGATTTTAAAGACACACGAGAATCTTTTCCAAGATTCGAACCCTAAAACAAATAGATAAGATTTTCCTGGAAAAATGCCAAGTCGTGAAGATTCCTCCCCATAACGAAACGTCAATCGTCACGTGTTTTAAACAGATCTCAGCTGATGGGAATGCTAAAATAACTTCAAACTTAATAGAAGGTTGGTGAGTGCGGACAAAAAAACCTTAAAAGGTGGATAGCTAGTGAATAAAACCCGGCTTCTGCGTGGTTCTCTTCCTGTTGCCATGTTGAACAGACTTGTACAAAGACCTTCATAATTATTTTGCTCACGCTTTCCAGAAGCAATTACTGTTCCAGAACCTTCACGCAAATGCTGTGTGATACGTCTGCATCTTCTTCTACTTCGTCATATTTAGCATGTTTCACCTCAGACCATAATATTACCTGTAAAAAGCCAAGGCTGCTACATCTCGAAGGCGATGATTTCTTTTCCATCACTCGTTCTTGCTTCAGTTCACTCACTGCTCCGTAACCATTAGCTTTAGAGTCTTGGGCAAGAAGTTCTTCCTTCAAAATGACTGTATCCTCAACTTCCACTTTTGGAACCAGATTTGGAGCTTCTTGAAAAACACTCACGTCTTCCCCAAAAGTGGAATGCAGTGCCGACGTGGCATCATCTCTTGAAGAAACTGTGTGACTGACCATCTTAACGAGTTGATCGCTCAATCGATCAGCTGAGTCCATATGGGTTAGTAGATCCGGAAACTGATCAACACTTTCAGCACCATTGTGTAGGTCCATTGACGAAAATTTCTTAGCATGAAAATATTCGGCATCTATTTCCTCCGCTTTCACTGTGATAGATTTTGGTTTCACATTAACAAGAATACAATTATTCTGAGAAACGCAGTTCGGCTGGACAATAGAACTGTCGGAAGATTCGTTTTCAGCCTTTATTTCGACGTCAACCGGACAACCAGTCTCACTGCTTTTTTGTTCTGGAGGGCTCTATAAAACACAGCATTTTAGTAATATAAAACAAAAATATCGAGAGAAAATTTTTTGGGCTCTCCCTTCTTCCTAAGAGCTCATTTCTATTCCGATCTAATTTCCTCTATTTCTTGGAAATGTTGCAGCATATGAATGAAACTCTAAAAAAAACCGAAATGAATTGAAGAAATCACCTGTTCTTTTACAAGTGCAGAACATTCGTCAGGTAAATGAAAACTGCTATTTGATAAAACCGTTTTCTCTGACTTCGACTGGACTTCACAGACCTTCATCAGAACATCATATCAAAACAGCATATAACCCACAAAACCGATTACGAAACTGTACCTCGGCGCGTTTCCTAGTAACAGGCTTCGAAGACCTAGCGTGAGAATTTGATAGATCCACAAGAATAGGATCAGAAGCAAGATACTCCACCTTAACTTCCTTTCAAAAAATTACGAAACAATGGCTAAACAGCGAGAAAGAAAAGAAAAGAATAGCTACCTCTGCGCGTTGCTCACTGCTTGGTTCCGATTTCTCAAGTGATTTTAAAGCAACAGATGCACTTATTTCTTGTCGGTTGCACTCATCTTCTGCGCAACGAGCTTCAGTCATAGCACATCTTTGTGAGAACTTTTCATGAGCTTCATGAGTTTTAAGGGGAACTGCTTCGGCACTATTATTCGGCAATATAAACGGTGAAGTAGGTGAGCACTGCTCCAAAGGTACCATATTTATTAAAGAGTTAAGACTTGTAGCAGAAAGAGATGTGGAACGACAGTTCGAAACTGTCTTAGAAGTTTGTTCCTGACTATTCGAATCGCGTCCCTTAACACAAAAATTATCGTTCGACTCGATTTGAAAAGCACAAACTAATTGAGTTTCTGAGCTAAATAAAACTAAAACTAAAGCTAATAGACAAAAACGGTTCACCTTACCAGCTTTTGCAATTCTAGTTGTCTCCTACGTTCTTCCTCCTTTCGAATTTGCTCATCGATCTTCTTTTCTAACTCCTTTCTTCTTTCCTCGTTCATCTTCTTAAAACAAAATGTTTAAAGAAAAACAGGTGTCAGTAATCAACCTGTAAATACCTACGATGAAAAAGGCCAGCTACGCACGTACTGTGATAACTGATGCAGATATTATGGAAGCAGAGACACGCCCGGTTATACCACACTTTATGCAAGCTATACTTGTTATGGATACCAGGATCAACTACCTTCTTGGTACCAAACTAGTCGCACAGTTGTAAACCTCCCTATGATCCACAAGGGCGGCCACCGCCTGTGATGGTGATGATCTGAGGCAGACATTAGCCAGGTTGACCTCGGTACTCCAGGGAAACGCCTTGGCTAAACCAGCAAAACTCCCGAAAATGAAGATTATGCTGAAGCCCTGCACAACCAGTAAGGACGGGTCGACCAAGCATCCAAGTACTCAAGCATACTTGTCATGATGGTGCAAGATTTCTGATAGTTGATGTCGCTGCGGAAAGCAACTCCCAAAAAAGTAGATTAATAAGAAATAACGACTCACAATTTCCTTCTTATGGGGCTTCTGCGTAGGAAAATCTGATATGGTGAGCTTCACTTGGGGTGATGGAGTAGCTAGTGTAGGCTGAACCACTGCTAAAAAAGGAAGTCGGAATGAAAGTAGAATCAAATGGGAACCACTAACTAAAGAATAGAAAACAACAAAAATATGAAGAAAGCGAAAACAAACATGAACACTGAGGCATCATTGGAATCGGTGGGATAGGGCAACCTGGGAAGAACATCGGCGGAGGGAAGAATGGTGGGTAAGTGATTCTAAAAGGCCAACGTAAACAAATCACTGGACAAATGCAACGAAATTAGAGAATAACACTAATCAACGTACAGTGGCGGTGGCGCATTGAACGACGGTGGTGGTACGACTGCAACCGGGGGAGGAAATGACGCCGGAGGGATTGTGGACATCGGTAATGGAGCCGCCGGTGGTGCTGGTGCTTCGTCTTCGCAAGGTGGCAATGGAGGTGTTCGAGGCCCACGAGGACGATTCATCCTATAGAATAAAAACATTCTACACAAATGGTTGCAACTATAGCATGGAAGTAGTACTTTCAAAAACAACCTGTGCAAGTAATCATATGTGGCCGGAAAAAAATAAAATTGAACCGTACCCCAAATTCCTTTTGGCCCATAGAAAACAATCCACTGGTGAGAAAACATGGGTTTCTTAAATGATGAAACGGATATAGAATGAGCTCCTCCTTATCATTTACCTCACGGTGTCTATGTGTGCTTCCAACTGTTGAAATGAAATGTACAGTGTAGAATTTATTCCCCGGATAGGGTCACCCACCCATTCGTAAGCCCGACTAATAACAGGCCTATGTCGCCTAGCCGCACAATGTGGTAGGGGACATTACCTTCCCATCAAAAACAGCGAAAATTGAGTGCCTCAAACAAAAGAGCGGTTCTTATCGTGCCCACTGAGCAACCGACCTCCACCGGTTAGCTCTGACGCGCGAAGGGATGACAGAGACACCATTTATTGTAGGAAAATCTCTATTTGTCCTTACTGCGGGCAAGAGCAAATGAAACGTCGGCTCTAATACTTCGAAGTGATTGATACTTTATCTTTTACACAATCTAGCCTGACCTATTCGAAATTGTAAAGTAAAGACTATTTTCCTCCTAGTTCCTTTACTCGACAGAACAGAGCTGTCGAACAATAAGAAAAACTACAATGTCGCTAACAACACTCAGAACTAATGCTACTTCCCCCAATAACACGAATAGGTAAAAGCTGAGATCTAAAGAATGACGTCACAGTGCAATGTGAATATAATTCCATACAAAAACATTTTATCCATAGCATGTAGAGTGAAGTTTCTGTGCATCTAACTCCAACTTTTTGAAGCTATATAAGAGCAAAAATACGGATCTTATCAGAT